CAACTTCCTTCCTCCATTCTCTGCTCTACATCCTACTGTTTCCTTTGGTGACCATTTCCTTACTGTGAAAAACAAGGGAAAGATCTTAACCTCTTTTTCTACTTCTCAAAGGCATGCAACTCTTGCCATCTTTTTATAAAATATGGACTTAACAGGGACATGAAGGAATGATTATAACACTTTTAAAGTAGAACCTGATATAATGTGAGACACATTCAAATTAATTGCTGACTTGCGATTAACATTACGGAATAAATACTGAATGCATACTTGTAGGACAGTCGGTATATAGCATAATGCTTTAGAGCGGAAAGAAACCTTAGTGCATAGTTATGAAATCATGCTAGTCGGCTGGATCAGCACTTTTTTAAACGTGAGATTCAGTTCAATAGGAAAGAAAATAGCAGCGCTTTATACACATTAAGGAAAGCATTGTTTTATGTACTTCGATTTTATGCACATACACACACACTCCCACATGTATGTGATTACCACGATGCATTGTGAAATGTGTTTTCCACACAGGATGATGCCCTAGATTTATGCTGTGCAGTATGGTACTCACTAGTTTCATGGGGCTGTTTAATTTAAATTAAATTAAAAATTTAATTCTTCAGTTGCATTAGCCACATTTTAAGAGCTGAATAGCCACATAGATATGGAGCATTGCCATCATTGCAGAAAGTTCTGTCGAACTGCGCTGCTCTAGAGAATATCATATCTGGCCCTTCTAATTTTGCAGATGAGGAAACTAAGTCCTAGTATAGTTAAATGACAGTCTTTAAGGCCATTCATTCACTTATTGCCTTCTTTGTCTCAGATATTTATATAAGGGTAAATAAGACTGGCAGATACTGGGCACACAATAAATGTTGCATTGTAAAGATACTTGTCTCATAATTACTAGAGCACTATTAATAGAGAGAAATACCTTAAACATTAACATTTTTCTTAAAATTGGAAGATCGTTTGTGATAGGATTTAAATTATAATGGTTTATTATTACAGTTCCCTCTACAACATTAGTTAATATTAAAAGGACTTAGAATTTTGAAAGATAGAATTTTGAGTTTATTTCATTAATATTTAAATAGTAGAAACTGAGGTAGCATACGGTTAATCCATAGCACCTTTCATCTAAGAGTCCTTGACTCTGGATCTTGTCATTGATCATAAACTTTCTTCATTTGTTTTCGTTATGCCAAAATGTCTTTGTCTTTTATTTTTATTAAAATGTAGCTAACATACAATATATAAGTAGTTTCAGGTGCACGGCATTGTTATTCAACATTTATACACCTGAAGAAGTGATCACCATGATGAGTCCAGTAACCATCTGACACAGTACAACGCTATCACGATATTATTGGCTGAAAGCCCTACACCGTAACCTCATCCCCATGACTTATTTATTTAATACCTGGAAACTTGAACCTCTTATTCCTCTTCACCTTTTTCATCCTCTTAAAATTTTTTTTCAATTACAGCTGACATTCGGTATTATTTTATATCAGTTTCAGGTGGACAGCATGGTGGTTAGATTAGTCCCCATACATGTCTGTCACCTGCACCATCCATGGTTATTACAGTATCATGGACCGTATTCCCTGTGCTGTACTTCGCATCCCCGCGACTGTGTCGTTACTGCCGGTTCGTACTTCCTAATCCCTCCCCCTTTTCCACCCGGTCTCCCACCCCACTCCCACCTGGCGACCACCAGCTTGTTCCTGCAGCTTTGAGTCTGTTTCTGTTTTGTTGGTTCTTTTGTTTTGTTCTTTAGGATCTACATATAAGTGAGATCATGCGGTATTTGTCCTTCTCTGATTTACTTAGCTTGATACCTTCCAGATCCATCCATGTCATTGCAGATGGTAAGATTTCATTCTTTTTTAGGCCGAGTAATATTCCATGGTATATATGTCGCACCTCTTTATCCAATCGTCTGTTGAGAGGTTGCTTCTATATCTTGGCTAACGTAAATAACGCTGCAGTGTACATAGGGGTGCATATATCTTTTCAAATTAGTGTTTTAGATTTCTTTGGATAGGTACCGAGAACTGCAGTTTTAAAACAATTTTATTGAGATTAATTCACATACCATACAATTCACCCATTCAAAGTGTGCGTTTCAATGGATCTTAGTATATTCAATGATATGCACCACCATCACCATAGTCAATTTACATTTTTCATCATCTCAGAAAGAAACCAGTACCGTTTTCGCTATCGCCTGCCATCCCTTGTCCCCCCGACCTGTCCTAAGCAACCACTAATCTGTGTTCAATCTGTATAGATTTGTCCATTCTGGACATTTCACATAAATAGAATTATATAATATGTAGTAGTCTTTTGAGACTGGCTTCTTTCACTCAGCATTATGCTTTCAAGGATCATCCATGTTGGGCATGTATTCAGTACTTTATGCTTTTTTATGGTCGTATAATATTTCACGATATGAATATACAAGAGTTTATGCATTCCTCAGTTGATGGACATCTGGGTTGTTTTCATATTTTAGCTGTTGGGAATGATACAGCAGTAAACGTTCACGTACAAGTTTGGGGCGAACATAAGTTTTCATTTGTCCTGGGTATATACCTAGGAGCGGAGTTGCTGGGTCACACGGTAACTCTGTGTTTAACTATTTAAGGGCCTGCCAGATGCATTTTCAAAGTGAGCACACCATTTACATTAGCATAAGGAGTGTATGAGGGTTTCATATTCTCCACGTCCTTGACAGCAGTTGTTATCTGACTTTTTTAGCCAAGCCATCTTAGTGGCTGCGATGTGGTATCTCGTTGCGGTTTGGTTTGCATTTCCCTGTTGACTGAAGATATTGAGCATCTGTCCATGTGCTTATTGGCAATCTGTATGCCTTCTCTGGAGAAGTGTCTGTTCTGATCCTTTGCCCATTATTTCATTGGGTTATTGGTCTTTTATTATTGGGATGTGGTTGTTTGTTATATATTCTAGATTCTAGTCCCTTATCAGATATATGATTTACAAATATTTTCTTCCATTCCATGGGTTATGTTTTGACTTTCTCGATCGTGTCCTTTGAAACAAATGTTTTTTTTATTT